AAAAGTTTGGTGTATGTGATGTATCAGAGCAAATGTTAAGTTGCTGAATATCCACTGCACTCAATGAGGCATTTCAAATGTTGTTCAGTCCTATTAACGTTCAGCCTTCTCTTGCTGCATATTTTTTAAACAAATGCCTTATTTAGAGCTAGACACTGATGGCAGCATAAAATAATCAAGAAAACTAAATAAATTATTTATAAGTGGTCTGAGCTCATAGGCAGGTCACTGGTGAGTGGAAGTTCCTGCTGTAGTTAATAAAAGGTCTCTGAGTATGTTTCAGTTCCATTACCCTGGAGCACCAACAAAATAAACACAACTGTGAGTGGAGGACTGAATCAAATAATCCTCAGTGTATCTGCAGGAGGAATTTAGAAATTTATATTTTGATATAAATATATATGTTTATAATGAAATTTCAGATGTGAGAGTAACAGTTAGAAGTCTTCTTTGTCCAATAAACTGAAACCCTTTATGCAGTAATTAGTTATGACAGCTTCAGCATTTAGTGACTAATGATTTGCAAATCTATCACAGACACAGTGTTTGATCATGTTAGCTCACTGTAAACTTTGTGCACTGTGTGTTTTATGGTATGTTGATCTGTGCACCAATGCATTAACGTCCTTTAAAATGTGGAAAATCGTTTTTATATATATCTGAGAGCCCCTGTGTCAGGGAGCAGTTATGGACTTCTTATTGTGATATGTATTTGTAAGTCTATGCTTCTGTTCCGGTGTTCCACTTATTGTATGTGTAGGCGTGTGTAGGTATGTGTGCGTATATATGTGTGTGTGGATGCCAAGCACCTGCAGGCCTGATGGGCATGGTCTTGCTAGAGGATTGGCCACGCCTGAAGCCCCACACACCTGCTGCTGATCAGGCTCGTTGGGGGAGCTATTTAGGAGACCGATGGAGCTCCCACCGGTGTGGGATCATTGCGTGAGACTTCACGTCACGGCAGTCTTAGCTCAGTTAAAGTCTGTGAGTGTATGCCTACTGGAATACAGTGTCTTGACGGCTGCCTCTGTTATTTTCCCCTCAGGAGGAGCGTGGAGGAGGGCAGCAGGCACGGGGTGTGTGTGGACACACGAGAGTGGAGAACACGGAGCACGGACTTTTTGAGAAGTCACAACACGGGAGACACGGGAGAGCACGGGGATTCACTGTTATTGTTTCATTCAATGTAAATAAACGCACTGCTTAGACACGGAGTACCGCGACTGAGTCCTCCCTTCCCTACTTCCCCACGGTTTGCCCTGCCAAACCGTGACACCCTGACTCCAGCATCCACAGAGGGACAGTCCCTGGGCAGAGGAACCTCAAAGGACCTTTCCAAGGCAATAAACTACAGTTTTGCATAGTATGACCACACACACACAAACACACACACAGAGTGTCAACGTAAACAATATTATTCAGTACATTTCTAGATGACTAATAATACTGTAAGTGGTCCTATAGGGAAAACACAAATAACCAAAAAAGTGACCTGCTCTACCTCCTGAGCCACAGCCACCCTAAAACACTCATCAGGAACTCAGGAGGAGAGACTGCAGTTGTGATAGATGTGGCAATCCCAGCACAGTGACATTAGGAAGAAGGAACATGAGAAAATATAGCAGTACTAGGGAGTGTCATGTAATTAATATATGATTGTTGTTTTATGTACTTTAATAATGAAGGTTTGTAAACCAAGGCCACTTTTGACTCATAAACAAAGTGCTTAGCCAGACTGAAAAACAGGAAGTCTAGGGTAGAGCTGCAGAGGTATATTAATAGAATACATGAAACCAGACAGAAAAGTGGAACTAGTACATACAAGGACTTGTTTTTATCGAAACGATGTGTGACGTGTGAAGGACCAAAATAACACCTATATGAGACACATTTTTAGCTTCTAATGTTAGAGATTCTGCAACTGCCGTTGGGCTGTGCAGGGCTCTCTCTTCCGGAAGATGATTGAATAAAGAATTGAATGTTTTGACCACTCCTGAGTCGGGTTTTCTCTGTTCTATCATGGGGATCAAAGAATCGGGTTTAATATTTGGTGTTTCCGACCGGTTCCCTTTGCAACAGAGAGAACATATGTGGCCGAAGGTTGGATCTGAAATGAGGTGAACAGAAGACCGGTCTAAAAAGATTTAAAGGTAGGCACAAGCCTGTTCAAAAAGCATTTGACGAGTTTATCGCTGAGTTGACGATATTAACTATTAAATTGGCTCAGTAGTGGTAAAACTAAATTCTTGAGAATAAAGTAAAGCTTTGAAGTGAGGATAATGAAACTTTGAGAATGACAGTACTGAGTTAAAAGGAATATGGTATTTCATGGTAAAAGAGAAAAAGAAACAATTTGTGTTTAAGAGAATATAGGATAATAGGGAATTGGTCATTTGTTTGTGGGATTTAAGTCCCCATTGAGTATAAAGCCGGGCTTGGACATCCATAAAATCACTTGAAGGAGCAACTGGAGCAGATGTGGAAGACAAAGTCCAAACAACAACATCAGAGACCTCTGTCCATAAGAGTGCAGCTCAAGGAACACCTAAGATGCTGCTCAGTAGCCTCAAACTCCCAGGCCTCTAGTAGAGGACCAGAGATTGAGGAGTACAGACATAGAGATGCAATCGCCCACTTTGTTATCTACCTAATTGTTCACATAAAAATCTCATCAGCCAAAGTAATGGCTATAACTGTCAAGACAACCTGCTGAAGAAAGGTGATTTAAATAACTCTAGACTCTGCATGGTTGTTGGTGCCTGACGAGCTGGTCTGAATATTTCAGAAATTGCTGACCTACTGTGACTTTTCCACAAAATCATCCCAAAGTTTACAGAGACTAGTCTGAAAAAGAGGAAATAGCTCTCTGGGTGAAAATGCCTCGTTGGTGTTAGAGCCTGGAGACGAATGGCCAGATAAGAAGGCAACAGCAGCTGAAACAACTTGTTTCTCCCAGTTTATACATACATTTAACAGGAAACAAGATAATGTAGATAATTTCACAGCTTAAGTTACCTCCTTTTGTTTGCAAGAGTCAGGAGTTGATGTTACAAATATATCTTTTAATGAAATCCTGCCTTCATGCACCACCTGTCTTTCCTTAAATGTTCTTAAATTTATCATGAAACTGGTACACAGCTGCTGTTAAAGTGAATTGTTAAATGTCGTCATTTTTATGCTTACCACCTCTACATTGTTTCAAACTCTGTGATCAAGGCATTCCTTTGTCCCCCTCCCCAGCCTCTCGAGGTTCTGGGGGGAGGCTGTAGTGTTTTATCACAAGCACATCCCATGTGAAGGATTTGGGCTAGAGCATTATGCTCCACCGCCTGGCTCTGACCAAGGCTTCCCTCGTTAAAGACCGGTTGAAGATGTTCTGTTATGTCTTGTGTT